TCCTGAGCTTGGGCGGCGGCGAGGGAGTGCGGGAAGGTACCACGCCGTGCCCACATGGTGTTCAGTCTGGTAGGGCAGAGCACTGCCTTACGCCCATGGGGGTCTTGCATTATGTACCCCCCGGTTTACAGCTTATGCACCGTCTCTTTCACTCCCACTGCTCTTTATGTTTTTTGCACGCTGATCCTCGGTTCTAATCCTTCCTTCCAGAGAACAGATCCGGTGGATTTTTCCTTCAACCCGCTGGCCGATCCCACGTTCACCTTTTGGGACACGGGACTCTTGGAAGCGGTGAAGCTGGGCGACCTCCACGTCCACGAATTCTTCCGCCTCCTCTCGCTCTGCCACACCGTCATGTCCGAAGAGAAATGCCCAGGTCGGGATGGGAAGTTGGCGCTTGAAAGAGGGAGCGGCAAAATGGGGGATCGTGTGCGAAATCCGTTGCGTACCCTCTGGGATTCCTGCCCATCTCCTTGGCCAAACAGAACCAAAACGATTCCATATTTTTCTTCTTTTTTTCCCCCTCTCCTTTTCCTCCGTTCTCTTTCCTACACCGAGTTTTAAATTATAAATTCCTTAATGTGCATTTATGTGATTATTGAAAGGCTTTTTCATCACCCATCTTAAGTGTGTTGGGTGCGCCCAGCCCTCGAAAAGTTGGCCGGCTTGTGCAAATGCAGAATTAGTCATCTGCGTCTCCTGTGGGGCCAAGCCAGACTTGGTTTTACACCACAGCAGAAGCCTTAAAACGTGGTTTATAAGCCACCAGAGCAGCCGAACCCCAAACAAACTACTTTTAGAGCTTAGCGTGTTGTGTGAACTGAAGGCTTTGGAGCAGAATTGCTGGGAGCGAAGCAAACCGCTGCAAAATTCATCCTTTTCAAAGATCGAATAATAACTTCTCTTCTTTAATAACAACGAGCAGTTCTTCTGAACTCTTTTAAACACACTTGCGACTGGTATAAACTGAGGTTTGAGGGTGTATTAATGCTGGTCCTTCCAGGGTTAGAAATCTGGGAGGCGATGCAATGATCCAAAACATTTTACCTGGAATTTTGACATTTTGCCTTGCCTTCCCTCCTTCCTCTTCCCCTTAACAGGAGAATTGTACTACAAAGCCCAGTCTCCTGACGAGGGAGCCTTGGTGACCGCCGCCCGCAATTTTGGCTTTGTCTTCCGTGCGCGCACCCCCAAGACGATCACGGTCCAGGAACTGGGGCGGCCCGTGACCTACCAGCTCCTTGCCATTTTGGACTTCAACAACGTCCGCAAGAGGATGTCGGTCATTGGTGAGGAAGGGGAGGCAACGGGCGGGGAGGAGAGGGGGCCCTCGGGCGCTCGCCGGCTTGTTCGGGCTGGTGTGGGGGGGTGCGTTTGCGTTGCCTGTGGAAACGCCCTGTTTTGATCTAGTTTTCAGGACTACCTTGAAGGGCTGTTGTGGAGGGAAACGGGTGGGGGAGAACCTTGTAGCTGTTATGAGTAAATAAATTCTATATCTCCCCATGTAAGCTCTATCGTTCGTTTTCCATCTTTTCAATCCCTTCCTTTTCTGTCTTTCTCCCTCCCTCCCTCCCTCCCTCCCTCCCTTCCCTCTTCCCTCTTCCCTCTTCCCTCTTCCCTCTTCCCTCTT